GGAGATCATAGAGGATGAGAATGATGGCAGGAAAAGACTATTTCTGAAGAATGATGCTGCGGGAGAGTGACCTTCAGCTCACCCAGACTACACACTAATATAGGTCGAAAATTAAACACATTGAGGTAAAAGTAGACCCGTACTTAGGAGATCAGCAGGGTGAGAACAGCAGGTAGAACACTTGAAGTTCATTTCACTCATTCTCTCCCCCTCTCTCTCTTCTCTCTTCTTCTCTCTCTCTTCTCTCTCTCTCTCTTTGCCACCAAATTATTCCATAATTAATTTACTTTAACTCACAGTGCTAACACCAGGACTGTTGCTAGTGGAACAATACAAGAAGTGTTATTAGTGGAACAATACAAGGACTTTTGTTAGTAGAACAATACAAGGACTGTTGTTATTGGAACAAGACAAGGATTGTTGTCAGTGGAACAATACAAGGACTTTTGTTATTGGAACAATACAAGGACTGTTGCTAGTGGAACAATGCAAGGACTGTTGTCAGTGGAACAATGCAAAGACTGTTGTTAGTGGAACAATGCAAGGACTGTTAGTGGAACAATACAAGGACTGTTGTTAGTGGAACAATACAAGGACTGTTAATGGAACAAGACAAGAAGTGTTATTAGTGGAACAATACAAAGAGTGTTTTTAGTGGAACAAGAAAAAGACTGTTGGTAGTGGAACAATACAAAGAATGTTGTTAGTGGAACAAAACAAGGACTGTTGTTAGTGGAACAATACAAGGACTGTTAGTGGAACAATATAAGGACTGTTGTTAGTGGAACAAGACAAGGACTGTTAGTGGAACAATACAATGAATGTTGTTAGTGGAACAAGACAAGAAGTGATATTAGTGGAACAATACAAGAAATGTTGTTAGTGGAACATTACAAGGACTGTTGTTAGTGGAACAATACAAGGGCTGTTGTTAGTGGAACAATACAAGGATTGTTGTCAGTGGAACAAGACAAGGACTGTTGTTAGTGGAACAATACAAAGACTGTTGTTAGTGGAACAAGACAAGGACTGTTGTTAGTGGAACAATACAAGGACTGTTGTTAGAGGAACAAGACAAGGACTGTTGTTAGTGGAACAAGACAAGGACTGTTGTTAGTGGAACAAGACAAGGACTGTTGTTAGTGGAACAAGACAAGGACTGTTGTTAGTGGAACAAGACAAGGATTGTTGTTAGTAGAACAAGACAATGATTGTTGTTAGTGGAACAAGACAATGATTGTTGTTAGTGGAACAAGACAAGGACTGTTGTTAGTGGAACAAGACAAGGATTGTTGTTAGTGGAACAAGACAATGATTGTTGTTAGTGGAACAAGACAATGATTGTTGTTAGTGGAACAAGACAATGATTGTTGTTAGTGGAACAAGACAATGATTGTTGTTAGTGGAACAAGACAAGGACTGTTGTTAGTGGAACAAGACAAGGATTGTTGTTAGTGGAACAAGACAATGATTGTTGTTAGTGAAACAAGACAATGATTGTTGTTAGTGGAACAAGACAATGATTGTTGTTAGTGGAACAAGACAATGATTGTTGTTAGTGGAACAAGACAATGATTGTTGTTAGTGGAACAAGACAAGGACTGTTGTTAGTGGAACAAGACAAGGATTGTTGTATGAAGTTCAACGATGAGAAATTTCAATTACTCAGATATGGTAAACATGAGGAAATTAAATCTTCATCAGAGTACAAAACAAATTCTGGCCACAAAATAGAGCGAAACACCAACGTCAAAGACCTGGGAGTGATCATGTCGGAGGATCTCACCTTCAAGGACCATAACACTGTATCAATCGCATCTGCTAGAAAAATGACAGGATGGATAATGAGAACCTTCAAAACTAGGGAGGCCAAGCCCATGATGACACTCTTCAGGTCACTTGTTCTATCTAGGCTGGAATATTGCTGCACACTAACAGCACCTTTCAAGGCAGGTGAAATTGCCGACCTAGAAAATGTACAGAGAACTTTCACGGCGCGCATAACGGAGATAAAACACCTCAATTATTGGGAGCGCTTGAGGTTCCTAAACCTGTATTCCCTGGAACGCAGGAGGGAGAGATACATGATTATATACACCTGGAAAATCCTAGAGGGACTAGTACCGAACTTGCACACGAAAATCACCCACTACGAAAGCAAAAGACTTGGCAGACGATGCACCATCCCCCCAATGAAAAGCAGGGGTGTCACTAGCACGTTAAGAGACCATACAATAAGTGTCAGGGGCCCGAGACTGTTCAACTGCCTCCCAGCACACATAAGGGGGATTACCAACAGACCCCTGGCAGTCTTCAAGCTGGCACTGGACAAGCACCTAAAGTCAGTTCCGGATCAGCCGGGCTGTGGCTCGTATGTTGGTTTGCGTGCAGCCAGCAGCAACAGCCTGGCTGATCAGGCTCTGATCCACCAGGAGGCCTGGTCTCAGACCGGGCCGCGGGGGCGTTGACCCCCGGAACTCTCTCCAGGTAAACTCCAGTGGAACAAGACAATGATTGTTGTTAGTGGAACAAGACAAGGATTGTTGTTAGTGGAACAAGACAATGATTGTTGTTAGTGGAACAAGACAATGATTGTTGTTAGTGGAACAAGACAATGATTGTAGATGATGGTTCAGAGAACCGACAAGTTGATAAATTAGACACATGTGCAACACTTGGGTATTTTTAATGAGGAAACGTTTCGCCACACAGTGGCTTCATCAGTCCATACAAAGGAGAATGGTAAAGAGCAGGAGGAGTTTGAGGTAATCAGTCCCTCAGCCTTAAGTCGATGTGGTCAGTCTATCAGTCTTGAAAACAAAAAAATGACAAGAAAAGTACTGTTGTCAGTGGAACAAGACAAAGACTGTTGTCAGTGGAACAAGACAAAGACTGTTGTCAGTGGAACAAGACAAGGACTGTTGTCAGTGGAACAAGACAAAAACTGTTATCAGTGGAACAAGACAAAGACTGTTGTCAGTAGAACAAGACAAAGACTGTTGTCAGTAGAACAGGACAAAGACTGTTGTCAGTGGAACAAGACAGGGCTGTTGTCAGTGAAACAAGACAGGGCTGTTGTCAGTGGAACAAGACAGGGCTGTTGTCAGTGGAACAAGACAAAGACTGTTGTCAGTAGAACAAGACAAAGACTGTTGTCAGTAGAACAAGACAAAGACTGTTGTCAGTGGAACAAGACAGGGCTGTTGTCAGTGGAACAAGACAGGGCTGTTGTCAGTGAAACAAGACAGGGCTGTTGTCAGTGGAACAAGACAGGGCTGTTGTCAGTGGAACAAGACAGGGCTGTTGTCAGTGGAACAAGACAGGGCTGTTGTCAGTGGAACAAGACAGGGCTGTTGTCAGTGGAACAAGACAAAGACTGTTGTCAGTAGAATAAGACAAAGACTGTTGTCAGTAGAACAAGACAAAGACTGTTGTCAGTGGAACAAGACAGGGCTGTTGTCAGTGGAACAAGACAGGGCTGTTGTCAGTGGAACAAGACAAAGACTGTTGTCAGTGGAACAAGACAAAGACTGTTGTCAGTAGAACAAGACAAAGACTGTTGTCAGTAGAACAAGACAAAGACTGTTGTCAGTGGAACAAGACAGGGCTGTTGTCAGTGGAACAAGACAGGGCTGTTGTCAGTGAAACAAGACAGGGCTGTTGTCAGTGAAACAAGACAGGGCTGTTGTCAGTGGCACAAGACAGGGCTGTTGTCAGTGGAACAAGACAGGGCTGTTGTCAGTGGAACAAGACAGGGCTGTTGTCAGTTATCAATCCATTAGTATTTTCAAGACTGATGAGCTGATTACATTGACTCCATCCTAAGGCACTGATTACTTCAAACTCCCTCCGATCTTCACCATTCTTCTTTGTATAGGACTGATGAAGCCACTGTGTGGCGAAACGTTTCCACAATAAAGATACCCAAATGTTGCACATGTGTCTAATTTATCAACTTGTCGGTTCTCTGAACCATTTATCAACACCTCAGGTAGTAATGAAACCCAGATCTTTACCCTGGGAAGGACTCACCTACAAGCTTCATGACCTGTCTGCCAGTGTCCTCGGTACAGGGACCTTCCTCCACCCACGGGAACAACGCTGGGAAGGTCTGTTGTACCATCTCCACGTACCTGCACACACACATATACACCGAAGATGATAATGGAGGTACATACCATACACATTTTGAGGGATAGTTACAATAGAGCTAATTGTGAAGCTAGTCTGGTGAAATTAAGAATACTGACCTATCGTACCACTTGAGTGAGTACTGACCTGTCGTACCACTTGAGTGAGTACTGACCTGTCGTACCACTTGGCCGGGCCAGTGGAGGTTGGCACTGCCCCATAATACTTGTTCTCGCACTTGTCACTGACCATGTAGTCGTCCTCACGACGCCACGACTCACCACTGCCTTCTTCAGTGTTGCCTGTGTCGTCTGAGTCAGGAGACGACCTCATCACACGCTGTTAACCACAGCAAGGATGATCAGCGAGTAGAATGACTCGGATGAGGTGGAGGTGGAGGAAGATTCTATGCACAGCTTTGGTAATAGGTACGATTGGGACCAGAAGGAAGCTTGAGAGTTTTTCTTAAACACATTTGGGTCAAAAATTACTGCTGAATAGAAGAATCTAAATTAGAGTTTCTGGTTCACAAGTCAACATCCCCAAACCACCGGAATATTAACCCTTCCCCATATACTCGTACACACATTAACAAACGACCAATATTCCCCTTTTCCTTCTTAATACACCCCTCACACACCAACACCACATACATCCTTCACTCTCCTGACACCCACACCCTTTCACACATCAAGTCGTGTATAAGCGTGTGTGTGTGTATAAGTGTGTATGAGACTGTATAAGAGTGCATAAATGTGTATAAGTGTGTATGAGACTATATAACAGTGTGTCTGTGTATAAAAGTGTGTGTGTGTGTGTGTGTGTGTGTGTGTGTGTGTGTGTGTGTGTGTGTGTGTGTGTGTGTGTGTGTGTGTGTGTGTGTGTGTGTGTGTGTGTGAATGTATGTATAAGTGTGTATAAGTGTGAAGAGTCTAATTCTTCAACCTGTGGATGTTCTAAGCCGTCAGCATCACATATATACCTGTGTATCAACATAGCTGGTTGTGAGATGTCACGTACAGAACTTAATTTTCCTCTCCTAGTGAAGCGGTAAGCTTCACTAGGAGCGAGTTATTATATGGCTAAGACCCGCGTCAAGAAACACCTGTCTTGTTTCCTGACGACCCTTATCTGACCTCCCAAACACAGTAATATCGAGTTATTAATTCTTTAAATAGTAAAAGAATATTTCCCTAAAAGTTTTAGTTACGCCAATATTTCATCACCTTGACGGTAACCTTCTGGTCCAGAGGGAGGCCGGAGGGGGTGATGCGCCCCCCGCCGTTCTGTTGCAGCGCTGCGGTGAGATGCTGTGGGGTGACGGTGGCTGTGACGCCAGGTCGTAGTCCCAAGCCAGTGGTCATCTCAGCCTGCGAGAGCAACAACAATGATGATGCCGCTTCAACTCTATCCCAGCTCTCAACCTTAATCAAATATACATTTTTTTTCATGTAGAATTTAAAAACATAAGAATGATAGATCGCTGCAGTAGGCCTACTGGCTTATGAACAATGGTATGGTGATACCGACAAGATGTGGAAAAGGCACTTATGTACTGTTCAGGACATTTATTAAAGGAAAACGCTTCGCCACGAATGGCATCTTCAGGACTGTGGCATACTAAGAGTACGTTACATTTTATTCGGCGTATGTCATATACCTATAAATTTAGGCACGCCTTCTGGACCAGCCAGCCAGATGCTGGTTCGCTGCTAGCATCTTGATTCAGTCTAGCCAGTCACAGGGAAACCCGTTATAATTGTGAAGCAAAGTCTGGGACTCGTGGATCAACATTGGCAGACTTTCCTCAAGTCTGGTCGTCCACAGTACTCACTGTGTCTCTTGCTTGCAAATTTGTTATTATGTACAAAGTGTATATACACAAATATCCCACACATGAGAGAGAGAGAGAGAGAGAGAAGCTTACGACTGAAGAGGTCACTCGGGGCGAAACGTCCCCTCTAATAAATGTCCTGGACTGCATGTAAGTGTCTCCTACTGGCTTATGCCAGGTACTGTGTAAATAAGACAAAATGTGGGTTAGGGCACTATCGTAATGACGTTTCATTCAACAAGGAAATTCAGAGACATTTTCAGGGTGGAAATTTGAAAAAAGCGGCAGATTTACGAAACGTCTTGAAATGAAGATAGCCAGGTGTTGCACGCGCCTTGAAGTCATCATCAGTATCACAGTAACATGACACAGCTGACACAGCTTGCATTATGTGTCTTATTTACGGCACAAACTGTTACGCAGGGTTCTGCATGACATCGTAATGTACATATAGTGGAGAAGTGTGCCATTATAGTATGAATGTTATAATTGTAAAGAATAATTTTATAATCCATAATGTGCATTTGGGGGCACTGTAAAGTACTCTAACTGTAATTATAAAGAAATCCTGCTAGGTAGTTATTTTCCAAGTGTGTTTTGGGTATGCGGGGTGAGCGTGGCTGGGGGCAGGCACGTGGAGTCAGCATGGTGTGGAGGCTGGCGTCGGAGATGCTGTGTGTTTAAGCTAAGTTTGTAGTTGTGTACTCCTTTTGTTTGACCAACTCAAGCCATAGGCTCTCCTATGGCTTACCTGTATGTTCACCTAGGATCTAACATGGTCAGGGTGCTGTGGGATTGAGTGAGGAAATAAGAAATGGGGTTTGTAGTAGAGTAGTGACGGTCTGGCGCTGACTAGGCCTAGTGGTTATGGTGGCTGGACCTCCAGCCAGCTGTTTCTTGTGTACCCTCATTTGGGCATTTAGGATTAAGGTGTTTCTAGAGTGTGTATATAGTGTTATGTTGAATAAATAGATATATTTTCCTAACTGGGATTTTTGCCTAACCCTCTGTTAACCAACCCATTGAAGTAACACTTACTGGTTTAGCGCTTTCTATTTAGACTGGGATAGCCCTGGGTGGCCTGTTTATGCTTGAGATGTGTGTAACTTTTACCTTTGCCCTTAGACAAGGCTCTAGCCCCCAGCTATCCCACCTTTCTGCGTAACAGCTATCCCACCTTTCTGCGTAACACAAACTATCAGTATGTTCTACCACTGTACTGCCATTCTTGGCAGGTCCGTCTCTCACTCAAGTCTCCATCACCCTTGAAGATGATGAATTGATTACATCGGCTCTACATCTCTACTGCTTCCGCTGTCTCCTCTGTACTCGGCTGAAAAAGCCTACTGTGTAGGAGAAACATTTCGAAATAAAGATACCGAACTGTTGCATATGTCTTACTATTATTAATGTGATATGTAAATAGGAGAGAGCGAAGAGAGAAGGAGAGAGAGAGAGAGAGAGAGAGAGAGAGAGAGAGAGAGAGAGAGAGAGAGAGAGAGAGAGAGAGAGAGAGAGAGAGAGAGAGACAGACAGACAGACAGACAGAGACAGACAGACAGACAGACAGACAGACAGACAGACAGAGACAGACAGACAGAGAGAGAGAGAGACAGACAGACAGAGAGAGACAGGCAGAGACAGAGAGGCTGACAGACAGAGACAGACAAACAGACGGACATACTGACTTACATTGGTGGAAGAGAGATAATGACTTACGAAGGTGGGAGAGAGAATGACTTACGTAGGTGGGGGAGAGAATGACTTACGTAGGTGGGGGAGAGAATGACTTACGTAGGTGGGGGAGAGAATGACTTACGTAGGTGGGGGAGAGAATGACTTACATAGGTGGGAGAGAGAGAGAATGACTTACGTAGATGGGAGAGAGAATGACTTACGTTGATGGGAGAGAGAATGACTTACGTTGATGGGAGAGAGAATGACTTACGTTGATGGGAGAGAGAATGACTTACGTTGATGGGAGAGAGAATGACTTACGTTGATGGGAGAGAGAATGACTTACGTTGATGGGAGAGAAAATGACTTACGTAAGTGGGAGAGAGAGAGAGAATTACGAAAGTGGGAGAACGACTTACTTAGGTAGGAGAGATAGAATGACTTACGAAGGTGGGAGAACGAATGACTTACGAAGGTGGGAGAAAGAATAACTTACGTGGGTGAGAACACGTGTGGGAGAGCCTGGTAGCGGTGTTCCTCCCAGTGGAGTGCGGATGCTCTCTGGTAACATCTCCAGTAGCGTGGTGGAGTGAGGCTGGTAGCGCAGGATCAACACGCAGGTTGACACCAGTGTGTAGGCCAGCAAGGTGCCTGCAACACACACCAACCTGAGCCTAGAGGAGCACTGCTTTAGACCTACTGATCCATATAAGGCAAGTCCATCTTCGTACAGGTCAATCTACTCTTTTCATAGACTCGACCTGGCAATTTCTCCCACTCACCAAAAAGTGTAAATGCGACATTTTACTCCATCAAGGAATATTAAGTCCAGGACGGGGCGAAATATCGTATAAATATTATCACTAGCTGTTCTGGTTTCGAACACAACGCAGTATACTGAACACAACACTGTACAGCTGAAGAGATATTCACACTGTGGCCAAAATATGTAGAGGTATTAAACTGTGCTGAACGTATTACAGTACAGTACATCAACCAGAGAGAGAGTGAGAGAGAGAGAGAGAGAGAGAGAGAGAGAGAGAGAGAGAGAGAGAGAGAGAGAGAGAGAGAGAGAGAGAGAGAGAGAGGGAGAGAGAGAGAGAGAGAGAGAGAGAGAGAGAGAGATCTACCCACCTATGGACATCATTTCTACGAGTACAGTGAGGGAGATGAACATAGCAGCCAGAGCGGCTCCCAGACCAAAGACCACCGTGGCTGTGGCTGGGGTCCCTGTCACCGCCCACACGTCAGCCAAACTCCTGTGGGAAGAGAATCAGGTGCTGTAGTAGACCCTCCTAGAGTCCTCAGCCAAAGGATTGTGTAGCCAGGCTCTAATGGTGGATATCCTAGGCAGGAGACCCGTCGTTCCCACCCTTCGGGGTTCTGAACTCAAGTTCAGTGCTCAGTCAGCTCTCTCACACAGCCCCAGGCCATGGACCGGGCCGTGGGGGCATTGACCCCCGAAGCACCCTCCACGTATACTCTAGGTATACAGAGATGTTATCTTGCGAATACAATTGAAAAGGAGAATCCAACATAAGATAACACGGACGATAAAGACTCTTTCACTCATCGTTCAATTTTGGACCTGCCTTTTCAATCACCTAAAAAGAAAGTCGCACTAAGCGAAGGAGCTTCACGAGAGAGCTGACTGTATTAACATCTCCGTCACATCACGAACTGATGGAAGCTCTACACTGAGCAAACACTGTCATACTTTTCGCCCATACAAAGAGAAGATGGTCACGTCAGCTTGTTCGAAACTAAGAGGCTGGTCCAGCAGCTGTCACTCAGACACACGTGCCTAGTTTCGATAGTATCATTAAGCAAACGTTTCGCTCCCCAAGAGGAGCTTTTGATTGGGGGAATCTAGATTGATAAAGCCCCCACCAAGGCTTTACCAATCTGCATTAGATTGGATAAAGCCTTGGTGGGTGTTAACGTTTCCTAATTATATTTAACATCACCCACTAACAACCATTAAAATATATCAGTACATATTATATATAATATATATATATATATATATATATATATATATATATATATATATATATATATATATATATATATATATTCACAGTATACATACATGTAAGAGATATACACTGAGTTATACACATCTTGCAGTGTATATACACTGATACACACACCTCACAGTGTATATATAGAGGCATACACACGTCAGTGTATATGCAATGAGAGGTACACAACCCTCGTTGCATATACATTGAGATATACACACCTGTCCGTGTATATACCCTGAGCGACATACATGTCTCCAGGTATATAACCTCATCAAAAAATATGATTCAATACTTTATTGCAATGCTTTCAATATATCACAAACGAACATACACTACACTCATACATAGTTTCCAGTGTATTACAAGACATCACCTCAATACAGTAATGTATTATTTCCAGCGTACTGGACATGACAGTACACTAGAATACATGGTAATGTATCTTACTTGAAGATGAGGCCATCCTTGGCCATGGCGTAAACGATCCTGGGTAGGGAGAACATCGAACCGAACATGGAGACGGTGAGGCCAGCCAGAGCACCTAGTGCTACCAGGTTCTTACATTTTGGTGCGCCTACCTGGCCGAACACCTGTACCAGGGCCGCGTCCTGGTCAATCTTGTCGTAGGGCACTGTTGTTGCACGTCGGCGACGTGTTAGGGGGTCAATACATACACACACACACATCGAAGTGACCACGCCAACGTCACAAGAACGTCGTTGTAAACAAGAACGACCATGTTGCGTCACCAACACGTCACATTTCCGCCATCAGACACCACATGGAATAAAACAAATCACACGTTAAATAATCTGTTTACACATGCAATCAGTCTGGAGAGACGCAAACACTAGGACATATTTATAAGAAAATTTCTCGGTCTTGGGACCGTGGATCAAGGTCTCAGGACCAACACATGCAATCCTCAGCTAACAATTGTCTGTCTACCCCATACATGTCACCAGAGGAGGAGGCATCATATCTGCTGAGTATACACGAAGATAAATACTAAAACGAGCGCAGCATACTACTGCTTAGACGAGTCTACATGTTGCGAGTATTCCATAATATAATGAATATAGTACATCCTGGTCACACACTGATGCCTTTTCCCACTGAGTCGTGTCAGTGTGATCAAATAGAACCAGTCTTAATTCCCCTTATTGTATTTTCATGTGGGTTCGTCTGGAACATTCGCCAGTGGGACAAAAAAGGGGAAATTTATTATATTTGATATTTTTGCTCAGGATAAAGCTAAAATCTGAGCAAAACGTCGTCTTTCTACTCACTTTCCTGCTCGATACCCTGTTCAGCATGCCGGGGATCAGTGCTAAATAATTCTCCGTGTTTGGGTGCCTTAATATGTATACACAATATATACATTGCATACACAACGTATATACTATGTATACACAATATATACACAATGTATACAGTGTGTATATGTATATGTGTCTCTCATGCACTGCTCCCGGTTTAAAGTACCGTAACACACTCTTCTTAAATAAGACACTTGTGCAACACTCGGGTATCTTGACAACTCGTCAGTAGCTCAGAGAGTCGTCTGCCGATATCCTTCTGTCCCAGATGATGTACATCCCTGGATCTCACGTGTGTTTCAGGTTTTTGACGGAAGTGAAGAAGATGCGTTGACGTAACCGCCGTGTCACCAGGCCTACGGGACACCGCCGTGTCACCAGGCCTACGGGACACCGCCGTGTCACCAGGCCTACGGGACGGCTGCGCCGTCGCAGCTACAGAAATGTTGTACATTATCTTAGGTATAGTGATACTGACAAGATGTGGAATAAGACACTTATGTACAGTTCAGGATATTTATTAGAGCACACGTTTCGCCACTCGTGGCGAAACGTTTCCTCTAATAAATGTCCTGAACTATACATGTGTTTTCCCACATCATCTCGGGTACACCCAAGCCTCTGTCGACTAGGTGTGACCTCAGTTTTCTGGGATGCATAATAGAAGGAAGATCACTCTTGAATAGTGGGTTTAATAAACCTGAAAGGGATCGTAACCCCCTTCCAAGTTCTCTCTCTTGTATCATTCTTCTTATAGCTGATCAGGTTTCAGATACTGCCACAGGCGGGCCCATAATACACTCATTCTGCATCATCGTTCTCGCTCCAGCAACACCCATCTCGTCACTCTGAATCCTAAAATGGTTCAGTACACATTCGAGGACTATTTTCTTCTCGAGTACCAGGCCTAACTTGCAGTGTATCCACTAGACTACGCAGTGCGCCCAAGGAGTCGCTAAATACTACCCAGTGTCTCTCTGGATCGTTGAGAAATTATATGTACTGCAGCTCCTTGCACATCCCACACAGCGCCACAAATACATAAGATCATGTGCTGTGGCAAGCTTAAGGGGCACGTCAGTTCCCCCGCCTTCTAATAACATATTTATTTTCCCATTATAATCTACCTTTGTATAATTACTATCGCATTTGCTTCGTCTGTTTCGTAAGGTGAAGTCTAGGATTTTGTTCTCAAAGATTTGTTAAGTTTTGCCATGAATTATAAAAAGCTCCTAGACTTCACCGTACGAAACAGACAAAGCAAATGTGATAATAATTATGGACAAAGTAGATTATAGTGGAAAATGAACGTTAGAAGACGGAGGAAGGGGATGGACTTACGTGCCTCTTAACGCCTCCTCGTATCCGGCCTCACCAATAAACGGACGACCGGAATCCTTCGGTATACAGTGCTCTGCAAATCGCCATACAGGCCCCGGTGAAGTTCCAGAAACCGACTGCTCCAGCCAACCAGAGTAGTCATGTTTACACACCTCCTGCAGGGGAAATTGGACCAACGACAAGAGCGTGCTAAGAAAGCGTGCCACTGATACTCTATATCAAACTTCCTGTCCGGTACAAGGTCCATTTGTAAAATGCGACGATCGGCAGCGGATACGGATAAGCCGCTGTGTTGGATGTCCATCGACCGCCATGACCCCCCAGGCATACCTCAGTCCAGGAAATTGCCGGTGAAACCTTAGTGCATTATGCTGGCTTCCGCCTCCAATTGTTCCGTGACAGTAGACTTTAAGAGCACCCAGCACCAGGTACAAGCCCTGATTCTCAATCCTCTCCAGTTTCTCCAGATGACCCTCTCGCAGCTGCCTCCCACACAAACCCGCATACTGAAGACACCGTCGGAGTTTGAGCTTGTGTTGGGAGACCAGCAACAGAAGCTTCCCACAGAGATAAATGTCTCACTCATCTCAGTTACCAGCGCATCAAGAGTAAACTTTCCCATAACCCGACTCTGGAGTCACAACACCAGATGTTGCAGGACAGAGACAGATATGCTTGCTTAACACAGCTCGTCAGTGCTATACGGCACACCATCCCCACCCGGGGTCGCATCCCGGCAACCAAGGACTTCAGTCCCTTAGTCTTGGAGAGTTGATGGAAGGTGTTAGTCCCTTAGTCTTGAGATACCTAGGTGTTGCACATGTGTCTTATTCATAAGCATGACGGTATTGTATTCAGCTATTATTATTATTTTTACTATTGTCATTATTATTATTATTATTATTATTATTATTATTATTATTATTATTATTATTATTATTATTATTATTATTATTATTATTACTGTTATTATTATTATTATTGTCATCATTATTATTATCATAATTATTATTATCATAGTTATTATTATTATTATAATTAGTATTAAAGAGAAGAAGGAGGAGGAGGAGACTGACTCATCAGTGTGATGATGGCGGAGGAGGTGACATAAGCGATGAGTATAATGATGAGGGAGATAACGATGGAGTAAGGGATGGAGCGGCGAGCATTGACAGCTTCCTCTCCCGTCGTGGCGATGATGTCGAAGCCGATGAAGGCGTAGAAGCAGGTGGCAGCACCTGTCAACACCTGCAGGAGGAGAGAGGAGGAGACATTATCCCTGAGCGGTTACTAAGCCAGGATAATCCTAGAAAGCCGCAGACCTGGGCTTAATTGTGACTTGAGAGACTCGGAATGATTTTGTCGCACCTCATGGCTATCTTGTGGATGGTAGTGGCTAGTTTATCATGCACCAAATACTATCTATCCTGTAGACGGTAGTGTCTAGTCTAATGTTGCACCTCGTGTCTATTCTGTGGACGGTAGTGGCTAGTTTATTATGCACCCCATATCTATCCCCTGGATGGTAGTGGTTAGATTATTATGCACCCCATATCTATCTGCCAAACTGCAGAAGTACTTGTAACCAAGCCAAGGCCTGATCACTACAGTTCAGTCAGTCTGTTCACATTGCAAGTTACTCCATAAACGTACCAATCTAGGTTCATGTTATCACAGTGAGTAATACATCTGCTCAGGCTTCTAACTACATTCCCATAACATTCAGTTTCATTATTTACCTCTTCCAATATTATTCCTAAAGCTAAACACGGACATAACCAAGTTATATTCTACATTTTTCCTTTAGCGTATTTTCTTTGTCTAACTTGTCAACAGCGTTGCTTGTGTTTGTGTTGCTTGTTTGTGGATACTGTGACTTGTTTATGGATGGTGTGGCTTGTTTATGGATGGTGTGACTTGTTTGTGGATGGTGTGACTTGTTTATGGATGGTGTGGCTTGTTTATGGATGGTGTGGCTTGTTTGTGGATGGTGTGGCTTGTTTATGGATGGTGTGGCTTGTTTATGGATGGTGTGCTTGTTTATGGTGGTGTGGCTTGTTTATGGATGGTGTGGCTTGTTTATGGATGGTGTGGCTTGTTTATGGATGGTGTGGCTTGTTTATGGATGGTGTGGCTTGTTTATGGATGGTGCTTGTTTATGGATGGTGTGGCTTGTTTATGGATGGTGTGGCTTGTTTATGGATGGTGTGGCTTGTTTATGGATGGTGTGGCTTGTTTATGGATGGTGTGGCTTGTTTATGGATGGTGTGGCTTGTTTATGGATGGTGTGGCTTGTTTATGGATGGTGTGGCTTGTTTATGGATGGTGTGGCTTGTTTATGGATGGTGTGGCTTGTTTATGGATGGTGTGGCTTGTTTATGGATGGTGTGGCTTGTTTATGGATGGTGTGGCTTGTTTATGGATGGTGTGGCTTGTTTATGGATGGTGTGGCTTGTTTATGGATGGTGTGGCTTGTTTATGGATGGTGTGGCTTGTTTATGGATGGTGTGGCTTGTTTATGGATGGTGTGGCTTGTTTATGGATGGTGTGGCTTGTTTATGGATGGTGTGGCTTGTTTATGGATGGTTGGCTTGTTTATGGATGGTGTGGCTTGTTTATGGATGGTGTGGCTTGTTTATGGATGGTGTGGCTTGTTTATGGATGGTGTGGCTTGTTTATGGATGGTGTGGCTTGTTTATGGATGGTGTGGCTTGTTTATGGATGGTGTGGCTTGTTTATATGGTTGTGTGGTTGTTTATGGATGGTGTGGCTTGTTTATGGATGGTGTGGCTTGTTTATGGATGGTGTGGCTTGTTTATGGATGGTGTGGCTTGTTTATGGATGGTGTGGCTTGTTTATGGATGGTGTGGCTTGTTTATGGATGGTGTGGCTTGTTTATGGATGGTGTGGCTTGTTTATGGATGGTGCTTTTTGATGTGGCTTGTTTATGGATGGTGTGGCTTGTTTATGGATGGTGTGGCTTGTTATGATGGTGTGGCTTGTTTATGGATGGTGTGGCTTGTTTATGGATGGTGTGGCTTGTTTATGGAGTGGTGTGGCTTGTTTATGATGGGTAGCTTTTATGGAGATATGTGGCATGTTTCAACTGGGAGTTTACACATGCAAGGGGCAGGGCAGGGGCATGGGCAGGGGCATGGGCAGGGGCAGGGCAGGGGCATGGGCAGGGGCAGGGGCAGGGGCAGGGGCAGGGACAGGGCAGGGCTAGGGGCAGGGCAGGGGCATGGGCATGGGCAGGGGCAGGGGCATGGGCAGGGGCAGGGGCATGGGCAGGGGCAGGGGCAGGGAGTAGGGGCATACCGGCAGCTCCACCACACAGGAACTATATGAAAAATGGTGAGGGTATATTTGACAAGGAAGTGAGCCGAGTGGATTAGCGTGTTGCGGCCATGGTGAAATATTACCACCCTCTACCCTACACTCTCTTCTCGCTCTTGTTCTCGCTCTTGTTCTCACTCTTGTTCTCACTCTTGTTCTCACTCTTGTTCTCGCTCTTGTTCTCACTCTTGTTCTCGCTCTTGTTCTCACTCTTGTTCTCACTCTTGTTCTCGCTCTTGTTCTCGCTCACTCACTCTCACACTTTCACTCTCTCATTCACTCTCCCGGCTCATTAATGTCTCTAACATGTTCATTGGAGGAACCAGGTGTGGATATTTAGAACAGAGAAAATAGAATTATTTCACGATTTTCATGGATTCCCTCACACTCAGTGAATTACATCTTCACGATAAAGTTGATGTTAACCGAAGAAAATACACTGAAGGAAAATATAGAACATAACATTGGCGTGTCTGTGTCTAGCATTAAGAATAATATTAGGAGAGAAGTAAATAATGCAACTGAAGTTATAAAACACAAGCCTGAGCAGATCTATAACCTACTATGATAACATTAACGTAGATAAGTATGTTAATGGAGCAACTTGCAATATGAACAGACTGACTGATGTTGTAGTGGCCAGGCTCAGGCTTGGTCACAAGACTGACTGATGTTGTAGTGGCCAGGCTCAGGCTTGGTCACAAGACTGACTGATGTTGTAGTGGCCAGGCTCAGGCTTGGTCACAAGACTGACTGATGTTGTAGTGGCCAGGCTCAGGCTTGGTCACAAGACTGACTGATGTTGTAGTGGCCAGGCTCAGGCTTGGTCACAACTACTTCTGGCAGTTTGACACACACACAGATGATGAACAAACGCAATATGAAGTATGTGGTCAGCCCTGTGGTCACTATCTTCAACACTACCTGTTTAATTTTCCACTTATTGAGAAATGTATAGACAGAATAATAACCTATGTGACATGTCAAGATATATTAATAATGAAAATAACATACCAGACATATTAAGAAGTTATTCTAAATTTTCTTGCAACAGAAAAGTCAACTATAGAGATAAATCCAAATGGTCTCCTGTTAAGTCTTTTGGGACTTAGGTCTTCTGTGTATCCATATGCTCTTGCGCTACCCTCCACAAGATGGATATGGAGTGCAGAATAAACTAGCTACTACCATCCACAAGATGGATAAAGGTTTCAAAGTAAACTAGCCACTTCGGCGACAAATTCTAAAAGAAATCTGATCACTTTCATGCTCTATCTCTCTGTCTCTCTGTCTGTCTCTCTGTCTGTCTCTCTGTCTCTCTGTCTCTCTGTCTTTGTCTCTCTGTCTCTCTGTCTCTCTGTCTCTCTGTCTCTCTGTCTCTCTGTCTCTGTCTCTGTCTCTCTGTCTCTGTCTCTCTGTTTCTCTGTCTCTCTGTCTCTCTCTTCATCTAAACAATGTAAGGCGTGTTTCACCCAACAGTAAATAAACACGTGGATGTTATTCCAGTGTTGAGTCGAATTATATAGACGTATCTAGACTTTAGAATGAGCCTACTAATCATTTGCTAGCCTTTAAAGTTAGAATAAAGATAGAAAGATACACCTGACAGTTTCTTAGCTGGTATCTTGCAATAAAGATATATCTCTTCCCAATATATACATGTCAAACACTTTAGTGTCGACAACATAACTCAATCGTAAACAAAAGATACAAGATGCAAAACAACTACGTGGGTTATTGAATGATAGCTTTAGGCCTTTCGTGCTGCAATCAACGCATCTTCAGGAGCTTGCAGTATTGCAGAAATGAGTAGGAAGCCCAGGAAGATTCGTACAAGGGGACTTCTGCAACATTGCAAGCTCCCGAAGATGTGTTGATTGCAACACGACAGGCCTAGAGCTATCATTCAACTTCTCCCGTGGTTGTTTGACATGCGTTAATATGATAATTTGTGTAAATTGTGTTTATGTGTATCTGTACCTAAATAAACTTACTCAACCTGTAAGATTAGAAAGGAAGAGAGAGAGAGAGAGAGAGAGAGAGAGAGAGAGAGAGAGAGAGAGAGAGAGAGAGAGAGAGAGAGAGAGAGAGAGAGAGAGAGAGACACTCACACCTGACCATCCATAGGGCATAAATCCTCCATGTTGAGTCCAGTTACTGGTGTCCACATAGAAGAGTCCGGCCACCATGATGAACACCCAGGCGCACAGATTGGCCAGGTTCAGCGCGTTGTTGAACAGCACTGACTTGCGCACCCCGGCCACCAGCACCCCTCCCATCATCACCGTCAGCAGGAAGGCCAGCAAATCCGGGGGTTCACCTGCGTTGCACGGTGAACACGTTGAATACGCGGTGAACATGTTAAAAAAACAGGAGTGATCATGTGAACACACAAACATGTGGAAGAGCAGTAACATGAACATATGGGAAATATGTGAACACAGAGGGTAACATGTGTACCCACGGTAAACTTATGAACACAGAGTGAACATTTGAACACACGGTAATCATATGAACACACTGTGAACATATGAACACACAGTAAAAAATAGTCAATATTTGATCTCAGTGAACATATGAACACAGTGAACACATTATTATTATTATTATTATTATTATTATTATTATGATTATTATTATTATTATTATTATTATTATTATTATTATTATTATTATTATTGTTATTATTATTATTAGTATTTGGAAACATTAAAGCTCTATAATACAGTAGTAGGAAGCTCGGAGCTTCCTACTACTGTATTATGCAACAAACAACACACAACTACCACAATTATGCAACAAACACCACACAACGACCACAATCATGCAATAAACAACACACAACTACCACAATCATGCAACAAACAACACACAACTACCACAATTATGCAACAAACAACACACAACTACCACAATCATGCAAAAACAACACACAACGACCACAATTATGCAACAAACAACACACAACTACCACAATTATGCAACAAACAACACACAACTACCACAATCATGCAACAAACAACACACAACGACCACAATTATGCAACAAACAACACACAACTACCACAATTATGCAACAAACAACACACAACACCACAATATGCAACAAACAACACACAACGACCACAATTATGCAACAAACAACACACAACTACCACAATTATGCAACAAACAACACACAACTACCACAATCATGCAAAAACAACACACAACGACCACAATTATGCAACAAACAAACACACAACTACCACAATTATGCAACAAACAACACACAACTACCACAATCATGCAAAAACAACACACAACGACCACAATTATGAACAAACAACACACAACTACCACAACCATGCAACAAACAACACACAACTACCACAATCATGCAAAAACAACACAACAACACCACAATTATGCAACAAACAACACACAACTACCACAATCATGCAACAAACAACACACAACTGACCAAATCATGCAACAAACAACAACAACGACCACAATCATGCAACAAACAACACACAACGACCACAATCATGCAACAAACAACACACAACTACCACAATCATGCAACAAACAACACACAACTACCACAATCATGCAACAAACAACACACAACTACCACAATCATGCAACAAACACAACACACAACTACCACAATCATGCAACAAACAACAGACAACACCACAATCATGCAACAAACAACACACAACTACCACAATCATGCAACAAACAACAACAACTACCACAATCATGCAACAAACAACAACAACTACACACATGCACAAACAAACACAACACCATCATGCAACACAAACACAACGCAACAAACCACACAAAACACCTCACACAACACACAACACCACAATCATGCAACAAACAACAGACAACTACCACAATCATGCAACAAACAACACACAACTACCACAATCATGCAACAAACAACACACAACTACCACAAACAAAAAACCCTCATGCAACAAACAACAGACAACTACCACAATCATGCAACAAACAACACACAACTACCACAATCATGCAACAAACAACTACCACAACACACAATCATGCAACAATACACAACAGACAAAACTACCAACACAATCATGCAACAAACAACACACAACGCAACCAACAATCATGCCAACAAACAAACAACACAACTACCTACCATCACACCAAACAACACAGCAACTCAACACATCACACAACATAACACACATACACAAACAGAACACTACCTACAACAACAACTACCACACATACATACAACACAAAACACTACCATACAACAATCATGCATAAACAAACAACATGAACACACCAACAACAACAACATGAACACTACCATACAACAACAACAAACACGACACACTACATACAACAACAACAGACACTACCATACAACAACAACATGAACACTACCATACAACCAACATGAACATACCATACAACACCTAACCATAACACTACATACAACAAACATGAACACTACCATACAACAACAACATGAACACTACCATACACAAATGAACACTAACATAACACTAACCATACAACAACAACATGAACACTACCATACATACAACAACATGAACACTACCATACAACAACAACATGAACATACATCAACACACCATACATACAACAACAACATGAACACTACCATACAACAACAACATGAACACTACCATCACAAAAAAACAACAACAACATGAACACTACCATACAACAACAACATGAACACTACCATACAACAACAACATGAACACTACCATACAACAACAACATGAACACTACCATACAACAACAAACATGAACACTACCATACAACAACAACATGATATACCATAACACATACAACAACAACATGAACACTACCATACAACAACAACATAACTACATACAACAAAACATGAACACTACCATACAAACAACAACCATGAAACACTGAACACTACCCAAAAACAACAACATGAACACTACCATACAACAACAACATGAACACTACCATACAACAACAACATGAACACTACCATACAACACAACATGAACACTACCATACAAACAACATGAACACTACCATACAACAACCCAACATGAACACTACCATACAACACAACATGAACACTACCATACAACACACATAACACTACCATAAAACAGACTACCATACAACACAACATGAAACACTACCATACAACAACAACATGAACACTACCATACAACAAACAACATGAACACACCATACAACAACAACATGAACACTACCAATACATACCAACAACATCATGAACACTACCATACAACAACAACATGAACACTACCATACAACAACAACATGAACACTACCATACAACAACAACATGAACACTACCATACAACAACAACATGAACACTACCATACACACAACAACATGAACACATAACCATGACAAACACACAACATGAACACTACCATACAACACCAACATGAACACCTAACCATATCAACAACACAACACTGAACACTACCATACAACACCAACATGAACACTACCATACAACAACAACATGAACACTACCATACAACAACCAACATGAACATACCATACAACACCAACATGAACATACTACACATACAACAACAACATAACACTACATACCATACAACACAACATGCACTACCATACAACACACATAACACTACCATACAACAACAACATGAACACTACCATACAACACCAACATGAACACTACCATACAACACCAACATGAACACTACCATACAACACCAACATGAACACTACCATACAACAACAACATGAACACTACCATACAACACCAACATGAACACTACCATACAACAACAACATGAACACTACCATACAACAACAACATGAACACTACCATACAACAACAACACATGACACTACAACAACATACTACATACCAACAACCAACATGAACACTACCATACAACAACACAACATGAAACACTACCATACAACAACACATGAACATACCATACAACACAACATGAACACTACCATACAACACCAACATGAACACTACCATACAAACAACATGAACATACCATACAACACAACATGAACACTACCATACAACACCAACATGAACACTACCATACAACACACCAACATGAACACTACCATACAACAACAACATGAACACTACCATACAACAACAACATGAACACTACCATACAACACAACATGAACACTACCATACAACACCAACATGAACACTACCATACAATACCAACAAACATGAACACTACCATACAACAACAACATGAACACTACCATACAACAACAACATGAACACTACCATACAACAACAACATGAACATACCATAACCAAAAATACACTACACATACATACACACACAACTGAACACTACCATACAACAACACATGAACACTACCATACAACAACACAACAGAACACTACCATACAACAACAACATAACACTAACATACATACACACATGACATACCAATAACACCAACAAACTGAACACTACCATACAACAACCAACATAACACTACATACAACAACACATGAACACTACCATACAACAACCAACATGAACACTACCATACAACACAACATGAACACTACCATACAACAACACATGAACACTACCATACAACACACATACATACATAACAACACATACATACCATACAACATGAACACTACCATACAACACAACATGAACACTACCATACAACAACAACATGAACACTACCATACAACAACAACATGAACACTACCATACAACACCAACATGAACACTACCATACAACACACACAAACATGAACAACTCCACTACAGCATACATACAACACAACATGAACACTACCATACAAACAACAACATACACACACTACACATACAACACAACATGAACACTACCATACAACAACAACATGAACACTACCATACAACAACAACATGAACACTACCATACAACACCAACATGAACACTACCATACAACAACAACATGAACACTACCATACAACAAACAACATAACACTACCATACAACAACAACATGAACACTACCATACAACACAACTGAATCCACTACATACAACAAAACATGAACACTACCATACAACAACAACATGAACACTACCATACAACACAACATGAACACTACCATACAACACCAACTGACATCAACAACACAACATGACACTACAACAACAACATGAACACTACCATACAACAACAAATGAACACTACCATACAACTACACATGAACACTACCATACAACACAACATGAACATACCATACAACACACATGAACACTACCATACAACAACAACATGAACACTACCATACAACAACAACATGAACACTACCATACAACAACAACATGAACACTACCATACAACACAACATACAGAACACTACCATACAACAACAACATGAACACTACCATACAACCAACATGAACATACCATACAACACAACATGACATACCATACAACAACATCATGAACATACCATACAACACCAACATGAACACTACCATACAACACAACATGAACACTACCATACAACACAACATGAACACTACCTACAACAACCATACATACCATACAACAACATGAACACTACCATACAACACCAACATGAACACTACCATACAACACAACATGAACACTACCATACAACAACAACATGAACACTACCATACAACACAACATGAACACTACCATACAACAACAACATGAACACTACCATACAACACCAACATGAACACTACCATACAACAACAACATGAACACTACCATACAACACAACATGACATATAACACCTACTGCATACATACAACAACAACATGAACACTACCATACAACACAACATGACACTACATACAACACAACATGAACACTACCATACAACACCAACATGAACACTACCATACAACACAACATGAACACTACCATACAACACAACATGAACACTACCATACAACAACAACATGAACATTACCATACAACACCAACATGAACACTACCATACAACACCAACATGAACACTACCATACAACACCAACATGAACACTACCATACAACAACATCATGAACATTACCATACAACACCAACATGAACACTACCATACAACACCAACATGACACTACCATAAAAACAAACACTACATCCAACATGAACACTACCATACAACACCAACATGAACACTACCATACAACAACATCATGAACATTACCATACAACACCAACATGAACACTACCATACAACAACAACATGAACACTACCATACAACAACAACATGAGCACTACCATACAACAACAACATGAACACTACCATAACCAACATGACATACCATACAACACATCAGAACTACCATACAACAACAACATGAACACTACCATACAACAACAACATGAACACTACCATACAACAATCCAACATGAACACTACCATACAACACCACATGAACATACCATACAACACCAACATGAACACTACCATACAACAACAACATGAACACTACCATACAACACCAACATGAACACTACCATACAACACCAACATGAACACTACCATACAACACCAACATGACACTTTCCATACAAAACAACATGACACTACCATACAACACAACATGACATACCATAAACACAACATGACACTACATACAACACCAAATAGCACTACCATACAACACAACATGAACACTACCATACAAACAACATGAACACTACCTATACAACACAACATGAACACTACCATACACACACACATGAACACTACATACAACAACTCATGAACATTACAACAACCAACATGAACACTACACATACACACCACTTGAAACTACCATACAACACAACATGAACACTACCTACAACACAACATGAGCACTACATTCAACACAACATGAACACTACCATCAACACCAACATGAACACTACCATACAAGAACAACATGAACACTACCATACAACAACAGCATGAACACTACCATACAACAACAACATGAACACTACCATACAACAACATCAGCACTACCATACAATACCATCAGCACTACCATACGCCAACAACACCAACATAAAAACGTACCGAACATAGTGCCAAAGGTGTTTCTCATGGCGGAGGAGATGGCACCGTTAGCGATAGCATCAAAGCAAGCACTGAGAGCACAGGCGCAGGCAGAAGTGCCAATGAGCTCCTCCAGCACCATGTTCCAACCAATGATGAACGCCATAACCTCTCCCACCGTCACGTAGCTGTACATGTAGGCACCTCCGGAGGTGTTGGGCACACGCACTCCGAACTCGGCGTAGCACACACCTGTGGAACAAACGTAGCTTCAAGGAGAGGTATGGCAGGGAGGTTTATAAGAGGCAGGGGTGGGTGGGGGTGGGGGTGTTAAGGTTTCCTGGAGGTTACCTGGTAAGAGGTTGGAGGGAAGGCTATTTCCACCCTACCACCTAAATTGTGCGAATTTGTGAATTGTTCCAACCACGGTATTGTGGGTTAGTTGTGAATTATTCCAAGAAAAAAATGAGTTGAACAATCTGTACACAGTGTGAGTTTGTTCAACACAGTTCCAGGTCTTCCAAACAGCAGTTGTTTGTCCACACATTTGTTGTTTGTTCCACACACTTGTTTGTTTCAAACAGCAGTTGTTTGTTCCACACAATAGTAACTCTGTTACTATGTCAACAGTATTACTTGTGTAGTAAACTTGTATATATTTCTTAGCAACATTTATAGGCGTGGCTTACACGTGACCTACCCTCACCCCCCCGCACATAGGCCATCCCTCAGAGGCCTCTGCCTCACAGTCAGCAGGCTTACCAGATGGTCAGACACGATAGGCTGGGCTCCTCTACCAATACCAGCACAACGTCTCATTACACAGTTATTGACTTCGCTACCGTCACTACGTCAGACATCCGTCTTGACAACTATGACAGTGTTTGTTTATCTTCCGCTGTGTGTGTGTGTGTGTGTGTGTGTGTGTGTGTGTGTGTGTGTGTGTGTGTGTGTGTGTGTGTGTGTGTGTGTGTGTGTGTGTGTGTGTGTGTTTGTGTGTGTGTGTGTGTGTGTGTGTGTGTGTGTGTGTGTGTACTTACCTAGTTGTGGTTGCAGGGGTCGAGTCACTACTGGGTCCACTCTCTCCCTGCTCCATGAGATTTATCGTACCTCTTCTTAAAGTTATGTATGGATCTTGCCTCCACTTCATCACTCTCCGGATTGTTCCACTTCCTGACAACTCTGACTGAAGAAATACTTCCTAACATCCCTCTGACTCATTTGAGTCTTCAACTTCCAGTTGTGACTCTTTGTTGCTGTGTCAGATCTCTGAAACATCCTGTCCCTGTCCACCTGTCCATTATTTTGTATGTCGTTATCATGGCCCTCCCCTTATTCCTCCTGTCTTCCAGCGTTGTCAGGTTTAGTACCCTTAATCTTTCCTGGTAGGACAAACCCCTTAGCTCCGGGACTAGTCTCGTTGGAAACCTTTGCACTTTCTCTGATTTCTTGGCGTGTTTGACCAGGTGTGGGTTCCATACTGGTGCTGCATACTCCAATATGGGCCTGACGTACACGGTGTACAGAGTCTTGAATGATTCCTTGCTGAGGTGTCGAAACTCTGTTCTTAGATTTTGCCAGGCGCCCATATACTGCAGCAGTTATTTGGCTGATGTGCGCCTCAGGAGATGTGCTCGGTATTATACTCACACCAAAATCCTTTTCCTTGAGTGAGGTTTTTAGTCCTAGCCCATACTTTGCGGTTTTCTTTGATCTTTCCCAATCTTCATGACATTGCACTTGGTGAGGTTAAGCTCCAGGAGCCAGTTGCTGTCGATGAATGGTTCAGAGAACCGACATGTTGATAAATTAGACACATGTGTCTAATTTATCAGAGAGTTGCTGACCCATGCCTGCAGCCTGTCCAGATCCCTTTGTAGTCATACCTGTTCCTCATCCGACTGAATTCTCCGTATTAGCTTTACGTCGTCTGCAAACAGGGACACCTCTGACTCTATCCCTTCCGTCACGTCATTCACATAAACCAGAAACAGCATCGGTCCTAGGACTGAGCCGTATGGAACCCCGCTCTATCACAGGCGCCCACTCTGACACCTCATCACGTGCAATCACCCTTTGTTTTCTTCATGTCAGGAATTCTCCGACCAATTGCAATGCATTTCCTATTTTTCCTGCCTACTCCTCTAGCTTTTGAACTAATCTCTTGTGCGAAACTGTGTCGAAGGTCTTCTTGCAGTCCAAAAAAATGCAATCTATCCATCCCTCTCTCTCGTGTCTTAGTTCTGCCACTTTGTCGTGAAACTCAAGTAGACTGTGATACGGGACTTTCCTTCCCTCAAACCGTGCTGGTTATCGTGATATAAGATCATTCTTTTCTAGGTGCTCCACCATTTTTCTCCTGATAATCTTCTCCATGACTCTGCATACTATCCATGTCAGTGACATTGATCTGTAGTCTGATGCATATTCATTTCTGGCTGCTTGACTAATCTCCTTATTCTCCTGGGTCCTTTGTCTTCTATACTTTTTTCTCTAGCACACTTGGTTTTGGCCTCTCTACACCTTTGGGTGAACCAAGGGCTCGTCCTGGCCTTCCCATTATTTGTGTGTGTGTGTGTGTGTGTGTGTGTGTGTGTGTGTGTGTGTGTGTGTGTGTGTGTTTAAATTAAAAAATACACACCGCTCGGTGTATATATATACTGATACATTCACACATACTTACTCGTACACATACATACATAACCCATACACAGAAACACAGAAAAGCACACGCACACACACACACACACACACACACACACACACACACACACACACACACACACACACACACACCCACACACACACACACACACACACACACACACACACACATACACTTATAAATCACCCATATTGATGATACTGTGACAGTTGTTTTCCAAACATGTTAAACATACCAGTATAACAATCACTCTAGTAATACATCCACCGGTGTATCACTGCGGTGTATACACTGCTGACAGTAGTACATATACACGTAAAATGGCGTATATCTCAGTCTACATACATTAAGGTTTTGCTTTACTCTCCTTCTGTTCACTAGCGTAGGTATTAAAGCATTCTGGGTCGATGGTGTACAGGTGACAGTCAGTCTTAATGATCCTCGTAGAGTTGATAGGCTTTAAATCTAATTAACCAACCTGTCTTATAGGCCATTCTAGTCACTGGTTGAGCGGTTCTCCAGTTATCAGAGGCAGTGTGAGGGGTAGCAACACTAGTTATCAGAGGCAGTGTGAGGGGTAGCAACACTAGTTATCAGAGGCAGTGTGAGGGGTAGCAACACTAGTTATCAGAGGCAGTGTGAGGGGTAGCAACACTAGTTATCAGAGGCAGTGTGAGGGGTAGCAACACTAGTTATCAGAGGCAGTGTGAGGGGTAGCAACACTAGTTATCAGAGGCAGTGTGAGGTGAGCAACACTAGTTATCAGAGGCAGTGTGAGGTGAGCAACACTAGTTATCAGAGGCAGTGTGAGGTTAGCAACACTAGTTATCAGAGGCAGTGTGAGGTTAGCAACACTAGTTATCAGAGGCAGTGTGAGGTTAGCAACACTAGTTATCAGAGGCAGTGTGAGGTTAGCAACTCTAGTTATCAGAGGCAGTGTGAGGTGAGCAACACTAGTTATCAGAGGCAGTGTGAGGTTAGCAACCCTAGTTATCAGAGGCAGTGTGAGGTTAGCAACACTAGTTATCAGAGGCAGTGTGAGGGGTAGCAACACTAGTTATCAGAGGCAGTGTGAGGTTAGCAACACTAGTTATCAGAGGCAGTGTGAGGTTAGCAACACTAGTTATCAGAGGCAGTGTGAGGTTAGCAACACTAGTTATCAGAGGCAGTGTGAGGTTAGCAACACTAGTTATCAGAGGCAGTGTGAGGTTAGCAACACTAGTTATCAGAGGCAGTGTGAGGTGAGCAACACTAGTTATCAGAGGCAGTGTGAGGGGTAGCAACACTACTTATCAGAGGCAGTGTGAGGTTAGCAACACTAGTTATCAGAGGCAGTGTGAGGGGTAGCAACACTAGTTATCAGAAGCAGTGTGAGGTTAGCAACACTAGTTATCAGAGGCAGTGTGAGGTTAGCAACACTAGTTATCAGAGGCAGTGTGAGGTTAGCAACACTAGTTATCAGAGGCAGTGTGAGGTTAGCAACACTAGTTATCAGAGGCAGTGTGAGGTTAGCAACACTAGTTATCAGAGGCAGTGTGAGGTGAGCAACACTAGTTATCAGAGGCAGTGTGAGGGGTAGCAACACTACTTATCAGAGGCAGTGTGAGGTTAGCAACACTAGTTATCAGAGGCAGTGTGAGGGGTAGCAACACTAGTTATCAGAAGCAGTGTGAGGTTAGCAACACTAGTTATCAGAGGCAGTGCGAGGTTAGCAACACTACTTATCAGAGGCAGTGTGAGGTTAGCATAGTTATCAGAGGCAGTGTGAGGTTAGCATAGTTATCAGAGGCAGTGTGAGGTTAGCATAGTTATCAGAGGCAGTGTGAGGTTAGCATAGTTATCAGAGGCAGTGTGAGGTTAGCAACACTACTTATCAGAGGCAGTGTGAGGTTAGCATAGTTATCAGAGGCAGTGTGAGGTTAGCAACACTACTTATCAGAAGCAGTGTGAGGTTAGCATAGTTATCAGAAGCAGTGTGAGGTTAGCATAGTTATCAGAAGCAGTGTGAGGTTAGCATAGTTATCAGAAGCAGGGGTTGGGGGTAGGAACCATATATATGTGGTTGAAAGGGTTAATAAAACGAATCCATTAAAAACGTACAATATAATCTACAACCACACATCACAAAGATATTTTAAGTTGGGAGCCAATACAAAAAAAATTAGTAAGCACCTGTACTGAGAGACAGTCAAAAGATTCAATAGTAATAAAAAATGGCCTTTGAAATTTTATGACGTCCTTGCCGAAGGTTCGAGTCCTACCCGTTCCCTGGCTTTAGCTTGTTATTTCATCGGTTAAACTTGTTGGTGGTTTAGTGAAAGTTGATGTGCATAGTTGATGGTATGAGGTGATGATGAGTTGATGAGCTAGACACCTGTGCAAGGTATGTGCAACACACGCGCAACATTTGTGTAACACCTGTGTAACATGTGCAACACCTGTGAAACATTTGTGCAACTCTTGTGTAACACCTGTGTAGCACAGAGATCAAGATAACAGAGATCAAGATAACACAGGCCAAGATAACAGATCAAGATAGCAGGGGTCAAAATAACAGAAATCAAGATAACAGAGGCCAAGATAACAG